GGGATGTTGAGAGCACCACTACCTAGCAAGTATCAGGGAACAAGCAGTTGAGCGTTGTGTTTATATAATTAGTATTTTGGAATTTTGCGCAGACCGTAAAAGAGACTTACGGAAAACATGGATAGCTAAGGATCATTGATATAGTGTACAATCCTCACTTCTGTAGTGGTTGGCAAATTAATATGTAAAATCATATACTTTTCTGGACTTGTTATTACCTTTGATGAATTCCATCACATTTTTTCTTCTGACTTAATATGTTATTGCTCTTTATTTTATCTGTTTGCAGTACAGCGGGAATGAGGATCTGCAAATAATTTCTTGAGATTACCATTAACGTCTGTTTGGTGTCATCACCTTCAATTAGCTATGGGTTTCCAGATGGTGTTGTTGATTCCTTTGAATATACTCGTGCTATGTCTCCAAGCTTTAGCAATTGGTAACTTGACTTCTGATATGCAAGCCCTCCTTAAATTTGCTGCATCTATCCCTCATGGCCGGAAACTTAACTGGAGTTCTCGGACCTCAGTCTGCTCCTCTTGGGTTGGTGTCACATGTACACCAGATCAAACCCGTGTACGAAGCCTCCGTTTGCCAGGGGTTGGGCTTCTTGGCCAAGTCCCTACTGACTCACTTGGTAAGCTTGATGCCCTTGAAGTCTTGAGTCTCCGGTCCAATCGTCTTGTAGCAGATCTCTCTCCTGATGTCCCATCAATTCCTTCTCTGCATTCTTTGTATCTTCAGCACAACAAATTATCTGGAAATATACCTTCCTCTCTCTCTTCCAAACTCACATTCCTGGACCTCTCCTATAACTCTTTCATGGGAGAAATTCCTTTGTCAATTCAAAATCTTACCCAACTTACTGCATTGTATCTCGAGAACAATTCTCTTTCTGGACCCATCCCTGACCTTCAACTTCCCAAGCTAAGACATCTAAATCTGAGCTTCAATAACCTTAGTGGTCCCATACCAGTATCTCTCAAGAAGTTCCCTGCGGAATGTTTCTTCGGGAATCCTTCCCTCTGTGGAACTCCTCTAGCACAATGCTTTGCAGTTCCTCCGTCACCCATATCGCCCGCACCAGTACTACCTACAAAGCCCAAAAGAAGCTTTTGGAAAAAGCTAGGTACAAGGATCATAATAGCAATTTCTGCTGGAGGATCAAGCCTTCTATTTCTGTTGGTGATTGTGATCCTGGTATGCATTTCAAAGAAAAAGAGTAGGGAAGGTAGTGGTACACCGAAAGGAAAGGGCTCTGTTGGTGGAAGGGCTGAGAAACCTGAGGAATACAGCAGTAGTGCTCCAGAAGCAGAGAAGAATAAGTTGGTTTTCTTTGAAGGATGTACTTACAATTTTGACTTAGAAGATCTGTTAAGAGCTTCTGCTGAAGTTCTTGGGAAAGGAAGTTATGGAACAACATATAAAGCTGTTCTAGAAGATAGTGTAACTGTGGTAGTGAAGAGGTTGAAGGAGGTAGTGTTGGGAAAGAGAGAGTTTGAGCAGCAGATGGAAATAATCGGAAGGGTTGGACAACACCAAAATGTGATGCCATTTCGTTCTTATTACTACTCCAAGGATGAGAAGCTTTTGGTGTATGACTATGCCCCTTCTGGGACCTTCTCTACCCTCTTGCATGGTATAACTTTCAAAACTCTGCTTTGCTACTCTCAAACAAGGTTATTTGTTTAAGTGAAAAACTTTCTTTGAAACAATGCTGTGTTTTAAAGTTATCTTGATACTGTTAGCCAATTCTACATCGGGACTTGCAGTCAGTGATAACATGAGATTCAAATATTCCTGCATGGCTAAAATATTAGAAGTCAGGATTGGTGTATACCAAATGTTGAACCATCACCTATGAGCTGTAGTTCTTGAGTTGAACTGGTGTCTAATTTCTATGTCGATGCCCATGCCAACTGGTGTTTCAGCTCTCTAAAATAAAACCTAGATAATTACTTTAAAAATCATTATGAATAATTCACCTAGTCAAACATGCAGGTCATAGAGTCATGGATTCAAATAATAAACTACTATGTTTGTAAAGACTCCCTGATAAGCTATTTCCACAGAAATTATTTTCAAGACACTAATCATAGCATGTGTGGATATTTTGGACAATACGAGGCTGGACGGTTGTCTGCACCATGTGCATATATGCCCTTCAGCTTTGTTTTTCAACAAGCTTGAAAAAGAACTACTCTTTTTAATGGTAAATCGAGCTTCTTTTTCATTAAATTTTTTGGGCTATTATAGTTAAGTCATTATTCAATACATCTACTGGCATTTTATATGTGCTACTCTATTTGGTGTCTTCCTCTGCATTTGGAATGGTTATAAAATAGTTGACAAAATACATCTTGAAATGCAAAAACAAAGTGATGAAATTCCATTGTGGAGATCATATAATTTTTACTTAGTAATATGGTCAGGGCTACTTTCTTTTACGCAATTGTTAGGTTCCAGTATAGAGAAATGACTCCCTATTTGGCTATTTTATATTAGATCTCCTGGAACATGGCCAACTAATATTATTCGGAAAGCTTAGTAGTCAGACGTAATAATTCAAGACAATGTTCTGCTGGTGTAAATATCTTAAAGATCTGTACGAGTACCATTATAAGGAACAGACACTTTTAGGCACAATCGGATCCAAGTTGAATTAATTTCACTTTTAAGTTACAGAAATTTAAATTGCTTATGTTGTGCTTCAATACAGAGGTGCATCCCAGGAAAATCTGACATTCACTTGGATGTTTTTTAGTGGATGTAGCAATATTTCATCTTTAATATTATCATCTAAGGTATCAAAATTTATACATATGTAATATTTGGAACTAAAATATAAGAAAATAAATGATAGGAAATCTAAGACAGTTCGTAGTTGCTAGGGAATGTTAGACAGTTGTTTTGGCTGGATGGAACAAGTGGCACAGACTTAGAATGTAAAACACACATCCAAACCAATGAGAATAAGTTTGTATAGGAACTCGTGTACCATATTCTTGCTCCATGATGTGTTCCTATTCTTGTTGTTCAATTCATTCAAGCCATGTCATTAGGATATCTTCTAGTGTAATTTATTTATTGAAGCTTCCTTTTATACTGAATTTCCATGAATTTTCTCTTCTTGCATCATTCCATATAAAATGAAACTTACCAAAATGATGCTATCAGCATTGGAGTTTGAATTAACAAATTTCCTGTCCTAAAATAAATATATCTGAACTCTAATCTGCAGGTGGTAAAGGTGCTGGAAGAACTCCCTTGGACTGGGACACCAGGGTAAAGATTTCACTAGGCGTGGCACGTGGAATTGCCCACCTTCATTCTCAAGGTGGTGGAAAATTCATCCATGGCAACATCAAATCCTCCAATGTCCTCCTGACTCAGGAACTCGATGCTTGTGTCTCCGAGTTCGGTCTCGCCCCACTCATGAGCTCTGCAGCAACCCCATCAAGAGTTGTGGGCTACCGTGCACCTGAAGTCATAGAGCACCGAAAATCCACCCAGAAGTCTGATGTCTACAGCTTTGGAGTCTTCCTGCTTGAGCTACTCACTGGGAAATCTCCATTTCAATCTCCAGGCCGCGACGATGTGGTAGATCTGCCTAGATGGGTCCAATCTGTGGTCCGAGAAGAGTGGACTGCTGAAGTTTTTGATGTGGAGCTGATGAGGTATCCCAACATTGAGGAGGACATGGTTCAGATGCTTCAGGTTGCAATGCAATGTGTTGTAAGAGTTGCAGAACAACGGCCTAAAATGGAGGATGTGGTTAGAATGATTGAGGACGTCCAACGCTCTAACTCAGAGAACCGGCCATCCTCAGAGGACAAGTCTAAGGACGATGGTGTCCAAACACCATGAGGAGTCGCAGAAGAAGCCAATTTAGAGGTAGTTTTTGGTGTCTGATTCATGCATGGTGAATTTTGCTCGCAAGGGCATTATATACCACCATTGTTGTGGCTTTCACTGAGCTTGATCATCGCCGAAGTTGTCTTGGCCTGTATTTGTGCACATTGTGGTTGATGATTGCTAACAATTCTATTTGTTCCATCATGTCTTTGTGAACTTGGTTACTGCGTTTTACAGCACAGAATTCCTTTTCGTAAGGTGACATTGGTATCTCTCTTACTGATGAACTTGTGATTCCTTCCAAGTCACACTGATGACTATGTTTCATACGATGATGCCCAATAATAAATATTCTTCTGGTTTGAATGACCATTTCATTTGAAATAAAGGATCCTTCCAAGTTGCTATAATACAACACTTGAAGATAACACAGATTAGAACGCAAAGGTGTTGAATATTGGGTTTGTATGTTGGGCTTACACAATCTGATCTTATTATGCGTTCGTAAGAAGAGGGTTGACTTGCACTTACCTTATATGGTATATTCTGGGAAAAAAAATTCTCCAATTGACAACTCGTTTTATTATTATTATTTTAGTCAGTTTCTATATTCACAAAATCCCTTTGACATGATATGAAAAAGGAAACTTCCCTTTGTATTTCTATATTTTTACAATATTTTAAACACATTTATAAATATTTGATACAAACTATTTGATACAAACTACCTAATCTTGGTTAAGTGAGTGTATTATTATTGGTATAGGAACAAGAATGTTCAAAAGATTGACATCTATCTCATTCATTATATTTGAATAGAGTTACAATATTTTGATACTAAAAATCTATAACCTTTTGGTAAATATTATAGTTTACATAATAGTGGATCGATTCACCTTATGGATTGGTCCAAAGATGAAATTACCTTTTTTCCTTGTTCTATTAGGGTATTTTGATGACACAGAGAAAGGTGAGACACTGACGTAGCATTACAATTTCATTTGGAATGACGAACGTTATAAATGTCATAACGGGCGTCACCATTGTAACCTTTCTTTTATATCTCAGCAAGCCCAATAAGGAATCAGGGGCCCATTTAAAACGGGGTTTTGCTTCATGACATAAGTTACGAATAGATGATGCGGCTCCCATCGAAGACGCTTCACTTCTTCCCCACCGCCATCGTCGGTGCCACGTCCGTCTTCGGTCGGTAAGTCGTGACACAACTCAGTTACAACCCTGGGAAGAGAGGAGAGAAAGCAGGAATCGGAAGATCCTCGGAGGAGAGACAGTGTAATCTCTCATCCGCTTGTGTTTCTCTTTAATTTTGGTTATTTTTCGGTCAAAAGTTGATGTTTTTTGGTGATTGTCACCGGTAATGATCATAAGAGCGAAGAATCATCATCAATCGCGTAATCCGATCCCGGAATAGGGTCATCCTTGAAGGGAAGAATCGTCATCAAGCGCGCAATCCGATCCCGGAATAGGGTCATCCTCGAAGGGAAGAATCCGGTTGGTTCTCTTATACTGAGGAACTGCTTAATTGGTTCTTTGATTTTGTTCGATTTAGATCGAGCGTTCTTTAAGTGGTAACTATATTATGATCTCATATAGAAATCTTCAAGAGACTTCACATTGGTTATGTAGGTAAGGATTGCCATTATCTATTATTGTTCAGAGGTTTTCTTGAGATCATTAGCTTCAATAGAACTATGACGCAGATTGGAGAAAATGTTGTTTTCACTATTTGTGCTAAGTACAATTGTTCTAATTACAAGATTTTTGTTGCAGAACAATTGTGCTCTTCAGAAGTGTCACATTGATAATTGACCAATCATGCATCCACATGCCATCAATTTATGGAGGTTACGTAAAGTTATTGTTCTGTTTGTCTTTTTAAGACAAAGCTTTCAATTTTCCACTACTGCAGAGTTAGAAACTTTTTTGTAGGTGCATTTCATGTCAATACTGAGTTTTATAAATTGTGGTCATGAAACATCATTGTTTAAATGTTCTTGAAAATTATCCACGAATCTTATGAATAAAAACTGGCCTCCATGCACACAACTTAGCATCCTGAGAATTTTTTACTTGGTTATTTGTCTCTCGTTGTTATGATTTAATTTCTTGGTTTTATTGTTTTCACAGTAATTGTGATTAGGATGCATGGAATTTGATTTTTTGTACCAGTTTATACAATCCGTATTCCCTAATTTAATTCCATTTTCAGGTGAAAAAGCACATTAAGGTGGAATCTTCTCCATTGAAGCTCCTCCTCATGTTTCGAATGTCCAAGTGGCCCAGTCACTGGATACGATAAGGTCAGTATGTTCTTTGACTAGATATTGCATTTTCTAATCCTCAATTTTGGTTGCTATGTACAAGTGCTTGTGAATAATGCAGGAGACTATGTAGGATTGTCTATAAATATCTGGAAGATGGAACTAAGGTCACAGTGTCTACAGGACTAGCAGCATCTGGAGCCAGAATTCCTCACCTGAGATATTAAAACACAAGAGAAAACTTAGACCCAACAATGGTATGCTATTTGTTTGACTTGAAATGCTGGCACCATTTTATACCATTGCTTAACATATGTGTTGGACTAATTGCTTTCAATCTCTATCAAATACAATATTCACAATTTGATCGTTCTATGGTGTTATTTGTGAGGTAAATGACTTTATAGTTCTCTTTCCCAGTATGAAGATAAAGAAAAAAAAATGAATTTGAATTTGTAGTATATAAGCTGTTCGGATACAGTTTAATGCTAGGAAGCTCCCTCTCCTTAAATGGGACGTCATTAAATCTGAAATTTTAGTTAACTCATGGTGTAGAAAATGTCATGTCTCTAGCTCAGGAGCATAGCGTGAGGACTGTCAGTTGACCACACATCTTTATGAGTTTTATAAGAGGCATGCAAGTTTTCTAAGAGAAAAACATAGAAAAGAAGCACAAGAATGTATAGAACAAGAAAAAAGAGGGAAAGAGGAAGTAGCAAGTGAAACTACAGTATTGCCTCACTGAAGCCACCACAGAGGTTCACATGGACAATTAAGGTTTTGCTCCATTGTTCTCTGATAGTGTGGATTTGACAACTTCTGTCAGAGTTTTAGAACTACCCCTAGAGGTTCTATTGTTCCTTTCTCTCCAAATAAATTCTAGTCTTCAGAACAATCTCCCCCATGACCTTCTTTCTCTCAGATTTCTTTGATTATGAACTACATCCAAGATGCTCAGGAAGGAAGACTTGCAGACTAACCATTATCAGCCAGCATGCCCCACTTATTGAAAAATACAGTTGAAAATCAAGGGTTAAACATCTTCATTTTTCATTGTTGCATAAGACACAACAGGAAACAATTGTATTCCTTTCTTTGCCAGACTATTATTTATATAGGAGCCAAACAACAAACTTCATCTTTTCCTGAGTTAGCGCAATCCATTTTTTTCCAATACCCAGTCTTTTGTTTCTTCTAGCTTCAAAATTGTATTCAGTACAGTAGTAAATTTACTGTCATATCCCTACCATAAGATCTTATCTACTTTAGAAGATAATGTAACTGATTAAGCCTCATAGCTTGAACATTGTTATTGAACATTATATTCCAAGGCAAGACATCAGAGATTGTAGGATGAGCAATACCAGCAACTAAATCTTGATTTGATGCCACTTGGTATCAATAATAAATTTTATAAAATTTATCACAAAGAAAATCCTCTATCAACTACCCATCCTGCCAAAACCTCACTATCTGTCAGTCCATTGCCAATCGGAAAACAATTCCTGCAAAAACAATATCTCTGCATCAAAAGAAACCTTCTCAGCATGAAGAATAGTCAGAGACAATAAGGTGCCCAAAAGGATGCTAACTTTTAAAATGACTTCCATAAAATTAACTTTGTTCTGATGTTCAAACAGCCTTAACCAGAATTCACTGGAAGATGATTTCTTAACCTGAATATCCACAATCCTCAAACTCCCTGCATCCTTCCCTTTATATACTATAGTTAAACCAAAGTTTTTGGAGCCTTTTCTTCTTTTCTCCCATTCCACATAAGCCTCTTTGGGAGTCGAATAACCCACTTTGGCATCTTAAAGATCATCATGCAATCCATAGCAACGGAAGGCAGGTCACTCTTCAGAAATAAGTAGCTTTCTTCAAAGAGAACCTCCATAAGAATGACAACTATTTTCTGTGTTTTTAGAATGTCTAAGACCCAGTGGCACCATTCAGTAAAATTCCGAACATTATTAAAAGATTAAATAAGGGCTTCCTTTCAACTCTATCAAAACCGTTTTGAAAATGTAGCTTCAACATTGTTCTTTTTATTGCATAATTATACATTTCAATGAGCTGTCAGATAATTATTCATGATCTCTTTCATGGACAGTGACAGATTATTTTTTATTCAAAATCTCATTTCAAATTACTTTCACAATGATGTTGAATAAGACTGATAGGATTAATATCTTTTACCATGGAAATTCAACATTCTGTGGTATGGGTTATGATTTAATAAATCCAAAGATGCAACCATGCAATAATTTCCGGAGCTCATATGCTTCTGATGTAATACTTTCTACAATTGCTGCAACGGATCTGGCAACTTAATCACATATTTTTAGAGCTATATTTAATCAAAGCTCTAGGACTACTTTGCTGCAAAGGTGTTCAAAGCTGTAGAATTTGTGAGGATGGATTTTGATTAAGTTTATTCCTTAACAAGTATTTCAGCATTTAGTTATAATGAATCTCATTTTATTGATATAGTCCTCGAAGAACTCTTGCTTGGTCATAACCATCTGTTCATTGAGTTTCTCGCTAGCATGTCTGTCTAGAAAATTGAACACATTCTTTTGATATGTTGGAGTTGAAGCCTTAGTTGGGTTTTGTGACTCCATTACTTACTACATCAAATAGTCAGTGTTCTGCTCTTTAATTTGTACCATAGGTTCTAGTTACTGTATCGTCTTTGTAATTATCAGCTTATGCTGTTTAATAATGCTTGTGTACAGCTTGAAAAGACATTGGATATTTATATGGTTCTACATCATATAATATTTATGTTCCTAGGTTGAGATTGACTCTTTGACATGTTTTATGGTGTGTATATCATGTGTTGAACTTTTCACAGATCCGTAGTTATTGATATTAATGTCCATAGTCCTGGTTCAATCTCAATGGCAGGTTTTCTGCTGCTGCTCTGAACACTGTTGTGTTCTTCAATTTCTACAGAGTGCCGAACTATTTGGCTTCTTTTTCTTGCAGTTGGCTCCAAGGATACACTGTTTGATCATGTACTGGAAACAAACATACGATGTTAAAAGGGGAATAGACATGTCTGATCTGTAGAAGTCCTGACTAGCCCTGGAGATTCTGGTAAGATCCCATTCCAGAAACATATTCTCAAGAGGAAATTCCTGGCTGGGAACACACATTCTTCACATTGATTTATAGTCTACCTCTAATATGTTTTTCTTATTATTGGTATATCATTGATCCAGCTTGATTGGCTGACATTGAGGTTTCATATTTGGGAATTGGGACAGTACTCCGTATAATATATTTTCCATTAGAGATGAAACGGCTCAATTTGTGTCGGTGCGTGTCCCCATTACACTGAATTGTTCCTATCCATGGGATGTGACTGGGGATTATGGAGATCAAGGCAACTGCATCTACTTCCCAAACTGGGTCTTCAAATGCTACTATATTTCCCTTTGGCTTGTGGTCTGATCTATCTTCTAAACTACCTTATTATTCTTATAGGTAAAGAAGTGGAGAACTTTCCTGCCCCTGATATAGGACATTACGATAGGGACGGACTGTTTCATGCCAGCATTTGCAACTATTCTCACTGTAGAACACAGGTATGACTATTCTCATCAAAATGCTTCGTCTTGTGAATCATTCATGCATGTCAAACTCCACTGGTTTACAATTCAAATCATCCATAAATTTAAGACATGGAAACATGTAGAGAGAGAGAATTAGGGAAGTTAAGAAGAGGTAGAAAAGTTGGTGTAAATGCACATGGGTTTGAAGAGGAGGTAGACAGAACAACCTCCTTCTTCATCACCAAGAGAACTTAATAGAATCACATTCCTTGTCGTGTGTATTTTTGATCCTCCTCATTTAATTCTACCAATTTTGAAAACACTCTGAAACAAAGATATTCCATGTTTATGAACTAATGGTTGATTGATTTAGTCTTCTTCAACATCAAAATCTTTCCTCACCTCCCAAGCCTCTTGGGCAAACTATTAATGTACTTTAAACTGGATGTATGAACATGACAACGCATACATGATCATTAACAGAGATGGATCTCATGGTACATCATGGGCGCAGGTGGGATGCCTTCATCACCAGTTTGAAGAGCTCCATGGGAGCCGAGAAGAAGGGGCTGTGATCGGTCTCCATGACCAACACCTCATCCGGTGGCCACCTCCGGATCATGGCGTCTTGCTGCTGTGGGTTCACCATGTTGTCATGTGTGGTCTTTATGTACACTCGTCTTGCTTGCTCCAACCCCTCCACTTTGTGGAACCTTGTGCTGGGTAGAGTGGCCGGCCATGGTCGTAGTAGCATGGAAGCCAACGTGGAGTCCTGAGCCATGCAACGTAACACATGTTGAGACTACAAATCTATATCTTGTCGTACTTATCACTCGATGACTCGACACAAAGAAGGAAAATACATCTTTGGTTAGACCGGTAAACATTGATCGATGCTTGTCGATCAGACTATTTTATATTACATCAGATCTAATCTAATGAGCATTGTCAGGATTTGTTACCTCAATTGGGTTCAACTGATAGAGTATTTTGCGTTGGAATTCCTTTCGCAGTGCCACGCTCGTGGGTGGATTATTAGGCCCCATGTTGTATTTGAGCTCATAAACATCTCCAAATCGTGATAGATCAGGAACTCCCTACCTCACGCAAGAAATAATTATCCCATGCCTTAAGAAATGATGATCACACAGTTATTAACATCGAGTTGCACAGAAGAGGGCAAGAAAGTTACATCTTTGATGTCTTCTTCCGTTTGGTATCCCCATGGAAGCATGGTTGCTGCAACGAAGATGGCCACCTTGATCTTGTTGTTGAAGACATGCAACGCGTGAGTTACGCTCAGTCCTCCCGCACTGTGCCCCACCAGTATCACCTAAACACGAAACCTTACAATCTCAGCGGCAACATGGAGATCTCATCTTCCCGGACGGTCAAAGTTGACTATTTCTATCTATCTATCCATCTTTGGCTTGCTAGTTACTGTTTCCTGGAGGAGGAGTTGTTTGAAGGGAAACAAGCTCTGCTGTGCATGGGACGGGGGGGGTGTTACCTTCTCGTGCTCCGGCAAGGCAGACATGATGCTGAAGAGGGGTGCATCGTACTCATCGATGGAGAGGATGGAGTTGGGGTCGGCCGGGTGGATGCCGGCGCTCGCCAGGTCCGGGCACGAGACGCGATGGCCTGAGGCCTCCAGGAGGCACCGGAGCTTGAACCAGCACCAGGCTCCATGGCCGGCGCCATGCACCAGCACGAAGTGATGCCCTTCCGTCACCTCCTCCATTCCCTTCTCTTGCCCTCTTAGCAAGCGTTCTATGTTTCTTATATAGAAGGCCACATGTATCACCGGGTCAAGCTAGCTAACGTACAGCTATGGTTTTGTCGACGTAAGCGTACCTGAGCTTGGAATACGACGAATACCACTTCAAATTCTTGGTTGTGTGCGCGTATTCTTAAGCTCGTATTGTATTTGGCTCCACGTCACTAAACAAAGTGTTCACTAAACAATCATCGACAAAAGTATCATTTTTCCACCGCTTGATGATGATGCCAAATGGGTGTCTGTGGGACAATATTAGGTCAAGACTTATGGCTGGTTTCCTTGTATTATAAATATTAATGTCAACCTCTGCTAGTCGGGTTATTCTATGACAGACGAAGAATACATCCCAGTTCCTGCCGTTCCTCTTCTTCGGAGAAGGCCACGCTCGCAGTTCACCAAAACTGGCCACAAACAAAGCATCATCTGGTAACATCCAAAACTGTCACGATGAGATCAGGTTGACTGCAGTGGCTTGCTTCCTGCATGTCTCAGCGTCTGTGTCCTTTGTGCATGCAGGAGGAGACGAGTGCAGTGACCTGGATGTGAAATGCCGGCCGACAAGCTCCCTAGTTTTCCTCGCTGACCTCACGACACTTCAAATGGAGATCTACGCTGGCTTTTTTTGGTCTGGTTAGGATTTCTTGTCAAGGAGCTTGTCGGCATGCCAGCGTACGTGGAACACGTCGAGTTGTCGTTGTTTGGCAAACCCTAAAAGACGGCCTAAAATGAGAGCTGCAGTGTGGAAGATGACGTTCGTTTCCTTCTTTGGTGGGTGGAGAAACCGATGGGACCTGATCGCTGATTCGATGCTGTAGACCTTGTCGCGGGTGCGTGAGATCAAGTGCTCGACTGTGATGGTTCGGTTGCGGATGAAGGGGAAGGAGGCTCATCGTTTTTATTGTAGATGGGCTCGAGAAATTATCTTAATTCTCCTACTTCGTAATTAATGTAAGATTAAATGTTTTTAATCGGTGCTTCCTTTTATAGAGGTGCCAAGGGTTTTATTATACATCAGCTCGAGAAATTATGTTAATTCTCCTACTTCTTAATTAATGTAAGATTAAATTTTTTTAATCAGTATTTCCTTTTATAGAGGAGCAATTTTATCGTAGATGGGCTCGAGAAATTATCTTAATTCTTCTACTTCTTAATTAATATAAGATTAAATATTTTTAATAAGTATCCTCTTTTATAGAGAGGGCCAAGGGTTCACGGTCTTCCTTCTAGTGTCAATATGAAAAGTCAATTTTTATCATTATTAATGGGATAGACTCACGAGGAATTATTCGTTTTAGACGGACGATGAACGTACCCGCACGATTTTATCATTTCAAAATTCATAAGCCCTTAGATTCTCTTAAACCTCGATTAATATCGAACTAGATGTTCTTATCAAGTGGAATAAGAGTTCGAATTTTGCTAAAGAAAAATTATATTCGGTAGATTATGCACCGCATGGTCGAAGATATTTGGAATTTCTCATGTATATATATATATTTAGAGAAGGAACTGAGAGAGTCAACTGGCAATTTATCCTTCTAAGCAAAAAGCAAAAACATAGGGTGATGGTCTCATTTACAATGTTATGGTGCACAATGAAATTTTTATCATGTTTACTTGTACAATTAAAATTTGAATATAGTTGACCAAACATTTTGGAATTATTAGCACTTTGGCTCCCACTTGGAGAACAGTCGAAGCATATGAATCGCTGTCGAAGTTAACCAATGGTTGCTATTCGAATGAGTTACATCGGTTTGATGTGGCACGATGGAAGGTAGTTTACCAGTCCTGGAGAGGGCTGCACTGAAGTTTAGATGGATTTGATGTGCAGTGATTCATGTACTCAAAAGTGTCGTCATCGAAAAGACGATTCTCCCGTTGGATGCTTCGTCAATAATTTTCCAACCCGCAATTCTTTGAAGAAGAGTTTGACACGAGCAACATTGTTGGTTCTGAGCATTATATTTGTTCCAGTTCACAGTCGACAAGCTGAATCGCATCCAGCTGAGACCGAGCACAAAAATGCTGATGAATGCAAAACATTCGATTGTCACATCTTAATCTACATAAACGTTACACTTGGCACGATATGCTACTAACACAAACGTTTTACTTGATGATAGAGGCAGTGAGCAGCTGCCAAACTAAAGCAACTCAAATGAAACTGCAGGCGGTGTTACATGCATCCAACAACAAAATGCTAATGAGTTCCGAAGAATGAATAGAAGCGCCCCAAAATAGGACAGGTAACAGGATTTTTTGGAAAATCTTCCTGCAAATAGTCTGCTGAATTTGTAATCAACAGAACTTCCAATGGTTGTTGCAGTTTACACATGTGACGAATGTAGTCATCGGCTCATCGGCACTTCGGGTTTGCATTTGGTAGTAAGTGGTCTTCCGCTGTCCGCACCGACCGCATTTGAACTGATCAGTTGTAGCTTTAGCAGCTCCTTCCCGCTGACACTCGAATAAAGCCTTCTCTTTAATCTGTTCATTTGCAAGTTTCCTCTTGTCACTGGCCATTTCTTCAGGAGTCATAACTATGAGTTTCTCAGGCTTCACTTCCCCAAGGAGAACTCTTCTTCGAAGATCTGTGTTGTTGCCATCCTTCAAATTGAACATAATGGATCTGTACTTCAGCTTTTGAGCACCATTAGAACGGCCTAATTTTTCAAACATCACGGACTCCACCATGACTGCAACTCGGATGGGATCACACACATTTACCTCATCCAGTATATTTCTCACTTCATCTCTTTCATCTTCACTGGTCTCACAGGAAACTTTTGAGAACGCCTCTGCTAGAAGTTCCCGAAGTTTGTCTCGGATAGGATCATTACATTTGATCATCGTTGTCAGCTTTGGAGGAGCAGCTGATACTGTTGATGGCTTCTTGGTAGTAGATGCTTGATGACTTCCACTGGGGATTCTGTTAGCTTTGATAGCACACCCTCCTGATTCACTGCTCTCATTCTTCTCAGTCTTGTGCCTATCTGTATTTGAACCCTGGTTCTTGTCTTTCTTAACAAAATTGAGAGTTTCTGAAGTTGAAATCCTATCCATGTTGACAGGCCCAGCCTTTGGAGTGCTGTCAATCTTGAAAGTTTCTGTTCTCTCAGATTTGATATTAACTTCTACTGAACTTTTACTTTCAGAACCACCATTTTTCTTAGAATTTGACGTCTCCTGAATGACTACATCTTTCCAGAATTCTAGCAAAACAGATGCCTCAGCTTGAATCTTTGAATTAACATGTTTTTTAAGACTGCGGAGACGTTTGCCCACCTGGAAAAAGAAAGCATGTTTAAGTTCCAAGAGGAAAAGAATAGGCCAAATCCAACAAGTTTTACATTACATAACTGCCGAGGATCTATAACATATGCAGTTATGTTAAATGAAAAGTTCAATTTTTCCAGAAAAGAGAAACATAAGCTGTCAACAAGAATTATTTATATGATGAGGTACATGCAACATAAATTGATTTGTCCCCAAACATCTGATGGTTCGAGAAAGTTCTTTCCAAAACACCAACAAGAAAATTAAAGAGATGGCTAAGCTTCAACAATAAGGTATATGTTTGCCGAAACTTGCAACAGTGATGGAATCATAATGGCAATTTGTCTAGTCAAATTTGAAATGTAGGGTGATTGTACAAAACACTTTCTTTTGTAATTCCAAGACCAAGATATCATTTGACATCCTCAGAAAAGCAGATGAAATAGGTTAATAACTCCGGACTCCCATAAAAAAAGACCAAGATACTATTTCAGACGAAATTAGCAAAGCAGATGAAATAGGTTGCTAATTTTGGACTCTCCTCAAAAGTTTCTGAAACTCAAAGCATCACAGAGAAAAGCATCATAAAGCACAGCATATTCTATCAATCAAATAGTCATCAACAGTAAGATACCAGAATTAAATGGTAAGTGAATTTAAATTTTCACTTGCAAACTAATTTTTCTTTCAGTGTTCAATTGTCAAAATTTTCACTGATAATTAACAATATCTAGAACCTTTGTCACAAAATAAGTAGACGTTAGCAAATTACATGTTCAGAATGTTTCATAGAAGGGTCTTTGATCTTGCAAAATGCATGAGGATCCTGAGTGACATGCTGGAAATTTTATCTTGGAACTAAATCTTCAAAAACTAGATTGTGAGGGTTCTGCAAGTTATTTTTCAGAGAGAACATTACAGGCTGACCATATCCAACCAAGATCCCAGGCTCTTTTGAGAAAAGTCAATAATAACACCAAAATTCATGGTGCAGTCTCACCATCCATTGTTCGCAACACTACAGCTAGGCATAAAACTAACCAGCAAGAAGCTGTTCTGGATTATTTGAATTAGTAACCTGATGCAAGATCATTACAAAAGCAGCGATTATACAGCAAAACAGGATGAAAATATGGAAGAGGGACCCTCTTCACCAAAGGAAATACTCCTATTTCACTTTTAAACATGCACTAACAATACATTTATTCCCCTGAGCATTCCACTGCATGCAATGATAGATAATGAACACTTTTTATATACCATATTTGATCCTCAATAACAGCACTTTAGGAAAACTCAAAGTTAGACCATAAATTATGATCTTACACCTAAACTCAATATAACAGGGCTTAACCAAAACCTTGGTGCATCCATTTGTTTCACCTGTGTGGATTCAGGATTGCATCACCACAATCTTCTGATCAACATACCCACTCATATGGTTGAATTTGTAGACCTCTGAAGTACCAAGAACAGCAATTACAATAGATTCAAACTCAAAACAATATCTTCAAACATGCTGAATGATAAATTTATAGTGGTCCCTTAAAATGAGGAAAACTTGCAGCATAGCATGCCTGATAAAATTAAATCTGTCCAAATTCAAGCACCATACAGTAAGAGAAAAATCTTAACTTTGATTTTATAATGCCCGAGATCCTCATTTCATGTTACACCTTCATACTCATG